ATACTGGGTTATGTGAACTGCGCTGGGTCACACCCCAGAATTCAAACCCAAGCCTTTCTGACGTCAGAGCCCGCAGTTGTTTAACCTGCTCCACCCCCTTTCCGCAGAGATCCGGGAAGCAGAAATTAGGAATAACACAGCAGCGGACTGCTTGGCGGCCACAGGGAGGGGATGCTCTGTCTAGCACATCATCCTTGACCTGCCCACACATTAAGATCACCTGGACTTGAAGGAGGCTGGCCTCTGAGCACCGTCTCGCGAGGCTCTGGTTCCGCTGGTCTGGGGTAGACCAGGTTCCGAGAGTTTGCCTTCTGATCTCCCCAGGTGATCCTCACATTCGGCCAAGGTCGACAGCCCCTTCGCTATAGGACGGGGAGGCTCGTTGACTTCCGTGGGGGCTGCGGTTCTCCGTTGAAGGAATGTCGCTGGCATCACCATGACTTGCAGTCAAGTGCTCTCTTTCCTCAGCCTTCCGCGCATTTACACGCGCCCATAAATTTTTAGGCTTTGGGGACTGGGATAGAGAGAGGGGAAATGCAAAGTCCTAGTTCTCAGTCTCAGCCGAGTGTGCTTGGAAACAGGGCAACCTTCAAGGGTGTTGTAAGGGCAGGACTGGACACGGGGCAGGTTTCCTGACCCCATGCAGACCGGGTGAAGGAGGCGTCAGAGTCCTCAGTGGTTTTTTGCAGGTCTTTTATTGGGGTTCAGCAGGTACGTGGCAGGCAGGGGTGCTGGGGGGCCGGGCGGCTGCCAGGCCTCCCAGCCCCCAGCAAGTCTTCACTCTCTCTGGGCTCTCTGGCCTTCTCTGCTTCTGCTTCGGGCTTCTTCTCTTTCGGCTTCTACGGGCGTCCCCGTGACGCCGCCCTTAAAAGCACAGTCTTGGCCCAGGTGTACCCACTCCAGGTGCCGCCATCAGGCCTGCACCCAGGATCACAGGGCTCCCTCGTCTATCCTGATGGCGGGAGGGCAGACAAGCCTGATTCCTTTTACCTCACCCTACAGGCGTCTTCCTCGCCTGCCCAGTACCATCATCCTGCACCCTACATTGTGTTCCCGAGCAGGATGAAATAGTAACAGGTCAGGCCCCTCCTCCCTGCCCTGACATGTGGGGTAGAGCGTGTGATCTCCACGGAGCCTGCCAGGCTTGGGTCGCGGCGCGAGCAGTGCAGAAACTCAAGACCAGTGGAAGATTTGTTTCGGCTTTAGCAGCGGCGTCCTGTCCAGAACCAGCTTTTGTCGCGGGTTCTAGTCTTGTACCTTCCTCGGCCCCAGTTGCTCCTCTGTGTCTTTGTCTCCCTGCTTCCCAGTAATGCCGAGGCGCTTATTGAATGCCCTCTGCCTTGTCACTCAGCGCGAGGTGATGTCAGCTGCTTGCAGCTCGCGGCTCACGCTGGTGTGCTTCAGCGGCGCGGGGAGCTCCCAGGTCTCCAGGCATTGCCGTTGCTTTGGGGGTCAGTGGGACTTTCTAATAAAGCCTTTCCCAGAGGGCAAGTCTGTGTCCTTTGCCTTCATGAAATTCACATGAGGTAGAATGAATAAAACAAAGCCCGGGCCGAATGGCTCTGCTCTGGAGCAGCTTTCCTATTTTAAGGTTGATTTCTTCATTTCGCGAGTCCCATTTCTTTCTGCAGGCATTAAGCTGTCAACAGCGGCTGATGACTCCGGAGCCGAAATCCCTTATACCCCCTAGCGGGGCGGTAAAGCCCTTTTGACTTCTTAACTCACCCCCAGACTCCATTTTCCTGCAAGATAGAGTTCAATAGCTAAAAGGTGGGTAAATTGGGTTTCCAGGGGTACAAACTTTATTGTGACTAGTGGAGGAATTTATTTGCTTTTGAGTAAGAGCATTTTTAAGCCAATTTTGGAAATTTCTTTCAAGAGTTACTACAATAAATCTACCCTATTGATTTAGCAAGTGGTAGTTCTCCAGTGCTCTCTGGAGTCACTTAAGGGTTTAAATTCCTCTCTTTATTACTCCAGCAATATCACAAGCACCACGCAGGCTGGTGTGGAGAGCCCTTGGACCCTTCAAGGCAAAGGCCTATCCAAGATCTTGGTTGGCTCGGAGACTGCCGGAGGGCCCTGGCCACAGATTGCACACAGGGTTCTTTTGTTTTTGGGCTCCATCTGCCCGCATGAGGCGTCCTGCCGTGGGAGCCTGTCTCGGGGCAGCTCCCGAGTAGACCAGTGCATGCCCACCTGGAATGGCAGAGAATCCCGTCCCTGCAGCCCCTCCCTCCCGGGGGGCTCCCGCACCAGGCCAGACGGGCATGTTTTAGATGTAGGTAGCTTTAGGCATCAAACCTAAAGTCAGTGAGATGAAACCGTGTCGAGACCTGCTAATAGCACGAAAGACTCACATTGACTTTTGCTGGTGCCGGGTTGTGTTCTAAGCGCATTGGATTTACTCACTCATTCATTTAATCCTCCTATCGACTCTGAGAAACGGGGAGGATTAGCAGCCCTGCTGGCAGACAGGGGCAGGAGCAGAGTTGCCCGAAGCTACCCAGCCGGTGGCTGGTGGAGCAAGAACTTGGACTCAGGAAACCTTTTCAAAGCTTGTGGCTTAAATTGCAAACGCCCCGGGTGTGTACAGTCTTGGTTCTGCCGCTAAGGTCACCCCTCCTTGCTTTCTCTCTCCTTCCGTCCTTCCGTCCCTGCCTTTAGTCCGTCCTTTCTTGAATAAAATCCTTCCTGGAGACCCAGTGTTTACAGCGCGTAAGAGCGGACCTGCAGTTGTAGCAACGGGGTAATATGGACCCAGCACCAGCGCCGCTGCTGCCACAGCCCCTTGGAGCGCCAGGGGCCCTGGGGCCAATGCCTGGGCCCATCACCACACGGCATCGTCTCCAGCACACGCGTCTTCACCTCAAACCACAGCCCTGCTGCATCGTGCTCCCTCCGGAGCAGAGCTGCCGCTTTCCCAGCCGGACGGCCCGTGGCCCGCCCGTAGCCGAGTCCTCCGAGCCCCTGCTGTAGCCGAAAGGTTAAAGTTCTGATATTGAGAAATGCTGACGCTCCGGGTTATTAAAAATACCAGACTCTCCGGGGTTATTCCTGGTGCTTCGGAGCCCAGCGAGGAGCCGAGGGCCAGGGAGCCCGGGAAAGGTGTCCCGAGGCCGAGCGGGGCTGCCCACCTCCCTGTGGGCCTTGGCTGCCGGCACGGAGATGAGGCGCCTGTGGAAACCCGCCAGCTCCAGGCACCTCTCCCCCCCTTTCCAAGGAAGTCAGCTGCAGAAAAACTGCAGGTCCCCTGCTTCTCTGGAAGTGCCCCGGCCCGCCCCCGCGAGGCGGCACCGCAGGCCAGAGCTGGTGCGGCCGCTGGAGGGACAGGACCGGGACCGTGCCGTGGCCTGCTGCTGCACCGCCGCCGACACGCCCGGTTTCTCGATGTAGCTCGCCTCGCTCCGGCGGGGAGCGGCCTCCTGGGCAGGTTTTCAAGGTGAAGAAGGCCGAGTCGTGAGGAGGGAAGAGCAGGGCGGGACCTGGTTGCACAAAAATGGACAAATCAGGACTCGGTTCCGGGCACCTGAAGGCAGCCTTGTCCAGAGGGGGACTCTGGAGCCCGGGCTCTGCCAGGACGCACCGTGGACCTGGCGGGAGCTGCCCCTTCTGGGTCGCAGCTGCAGCCCCTAGAAAACTCGGCCCTGTCCGCAGCTCCCAGAGCCACAGATTGCCGGGGCAAGTGCACAGGCCGGGCCACCTAAATGTGGGGTGCTGGTGAGAGCCCTTAGTTGCAGAGAGCAGCGTCCCCATCGCTAGCCAGTTTCTTGCAACAGAGGGGCTCCGCTCAAGGCGGGGGGCTCATCTGAGAACCTGCCGGGGCATCGAGCCGCATTGTAGCTCCACAGCCAGGGCCAAGCACCGATGAGGACACTGACCGGCGCTGTAGGGACTCGCAGCAGCAACGGCAGGACCCTTTGCAACATGCCAGGGTGGCGGGGGGTGGGGGGCAGATGGTGGGGGGGCTGCAGGCACACCCGTGCAGCTGCCTGGGAGAGCAGGACGGGTGGGGGGGTGATGCCTGCCAGAGACCCCTCCCTCCCCCTCCCTTCTGGGACGCTGCCTCGGCACCCACGGCTGCATCTGTCCAGGCCGTGGCTCTCACCTGGGCTCTGCTTGTCCCTGTAGGGCCTGGGGACGCTGGCTGCGCGGGTGGGGGGAGGGGCGCAGGGGCGGCGCGTGAGATGCCAGGGGGCTGCACCCGCCACACTGGATTCACAGGGCCCGTTCCCAGGCCCTGGGGACAGACCAGATAAGGACCTCAGGTCTCCGGGAGGAGAAATGGGCTTTATCAGCCAGGGGGGTGGCGCGCAGGGGCACGGTGAACTCCGGTCAGAGCCCCTGGAGAAAAGCGGAGCTGAGGCGCTGTAGGTTTGGGGTCCGGGGTTGAGAACAGGGTTGAGCTGCGCTGGCTGGAAAGCGGGTGAGGGGGAAAGACGTGCGGGCTCGGCTGAAGGTCGCGGGGCGCAGGTCCCCCCCAGTGGAAAGAGGCTTTTCTCCCAGTTCCTGGAGCTGGGCCCTCCGGGCGGGTCCCGCTCCCCTGCCGGCTCGGCCTGCGGCGGCCTGGGGCTCGGTCGAGGTTCCCGCTGGGCTCCAGCCTCCGCTGTGCCCGGAAAAGCTGGTCTTGGGGAGAAGCAAGTTTTCCTCCCCCTTTTCGTCTGGGAAGCAGCGCTGCCCTGGGCCACCAGCCTCAGTTCAGGCCCTGAACCCCATGGGGGTTCAGGTCAAAGGTCACCCTGTTCACCCTGCGGGCGCGGCAGACACTGGCCTAACCCGGTGGAATAGCAGGTGCCATCAGGCGGAGGCCCTGGCACCAGGCTGGGTGGCGCCGCCGCACTGAGGACGCCGCCCTGGCCTGAACTTGGGGCCGCTCCCCCCGGTGCCCGGGACCCCACCAGGGCGGTGCCCCATGCTGGGCCCTTAGCCGCGTGGCAGCGAGGAGGAGGAGCCCCTCCCGCAGGACCGGCCAGCTCAGCGCCGTTTCTCTCGCCCCCCAGGAGCAGCAGCAGCTACACCGAGGTCGCGCAGATGAACTTCGAAATCGCGAGCGTCAGCAGCCTGTCGGGGTCGCAGCCGGTCTCCTGGCAGGTGGAGTACCCCCGGCGGGGCAGCACCGGCGTGGCCGTGGCCGAGATCTTCGTCAGCCAGAAGGACCTGGCGGGCATCGTCCCCTTGGCCATGGTAAGATGCGTGCATCGCGGACACGCCTCGGCTGGCCCTGAGGCCGGCGCCCCCATCTGCCGGGGGTGGCTGCCTGGACGCGGGGAGGCTGCACCGTTTCCCGTCTTCCTCACCTCCCGAGGGGTCGTGGGGCTTCGTGGGGTTTCAGAGCTTGGGGCCCCAGGGCCGAGCATGTGGCCACAGGGCTGCGGGCAAAGAGGGGGCCGTGGCCGCGCTTCCTCTCCTGGACCGGGCACGACCTGTGCCGGCAGCGCCCCCGCACTCTGCCCTCCGTGGGGCCACCTGTGGGGGCACAGGCTGACTGCACCGTCTCCTGTGTAGTGGAATCATGTCCCCCCGAAAGCCATGTTGGTTGATGTCTGAACCCCCCACACCTCCCCCCCAGTGCCTGTGGATGTGACCACGTCGGGGAAAACGGTCTTTACCTGTGACGCAGTCGGATGCGCCCGGAGCCCAGTGGCTGCCTGCGGGGATCGCGAGCAAGCCCAGATCTAGGGGCGAGCAGCCCCCCCGCAAGCGCTCTGCTTGTCCCCAGGGTCCTCCCTGCCCACAGCCCCTGCCGGGGAGTCTGCCCTCGCGGGACCCCCATGTCCGGGCTCAGGCCCCGGCCGCCTGCCCTGCCCCTGTGCGAGGGGTCCCGGCTCTCCTCCCACGCGCCCCGGCTCTGCCCAGCGGCTGCTTCACGCCTTCTCCTTACACACTCAGTGCTTGGACCGGCCACTCATGTCCAGCCGGGCCAGCTGACCACGGAGGGACCTGTGCTGCCATCCTTTGGGCTCTCCTTCCGTGGCACCCCAAGCTCACCCACCGGGACGTGACCTCGGTGAAGTGGGGTCCTCTCCCTGTCTTGCTCCACAGACGGTCAGAGCTGCAGGGAGAGGTGGGGGCCCCTGGCTGCTGACCCTGGCTTCTGTGGCCGCTGCTGGGCATCCAGGCTGCTGCTAAATGCAGGCAGGTGGCCGGGGGACGGGAGCGGCTGCTGCTGGCCTGGGCTCTGCGGCCGCCTGGGCACGGCTGTCACGCGGGTGATGGATGGCTCGGCTCTGCTCGGCCGCGGGGACAGGCGACACCTCGGTGCTGGAGCGAGGCAGGCATCTCGGGGGGAGCGCCCTGGACGGGGTTGGCGATCACTGTCTCCAAAGAGACCATGGGGGAGAGTATTTTATTTTCTTCCAGAAACTTCCCAGCCTGTCTCCTGCTCCTTTGCCAGCCTGAGGATTCCCACTTGTGACTGACTCTCCGAGAGTATTTTAAGGGTGACTCTGATGCTCTAGGGCCATCGAAAATAAATAATAGTTTGAAAAATATGTGGGCAGAATCCGTGTCCCCTTGTCTCAGCTGGAGATTTACTCTGGGGTTAAATTTTAAAACCTCCCTCCCTCCAGCGGCCGGCAGAGATTTCTGCCCACGGCGCACATCGATGACTCATCCGAGGCTGTTTTGACTTGAGGGTAACATTTCAGGGGTGCCGATGAATTACCCACCAAGCGGCACGTGCGGCCGCCTGCCGGGAGGAGGCAGCAGAGACACGGCGGCGGTGGCGATTCCGTCACGGCCAGCACTGTCCACGCTTCGGTTGCCTGGTGCAGGCAGGGGTGGGTAGGGCAGGGCAGTCGGGTCTTGTCCAGGCTTGCGCTCTCCGTCATGCGCTTGGAAAGGTAAAACCGTGCCCGATACTGACTGCCCGACTTCCCCGGAAGCAGAGACAGAGGACATAGTGGTCAGTGCCCAGGCGTCCCCCAGCCTCGCGCAAGAGGGACGCCCGAGCAGGGAGACCAGCAGGAGGGCGTCCGTCATCCCCAGGAGCGGTCTGCTTCTTTCTGGAGAGACAGACGTCTAGCTGCTGTTGACAGCCGCTCTCGAGGCCAGCGCGCCGGTGATGCCTGCCGAGCACGGCTCCACCTTCACCCCAAAAGTAACGATTGAGCGGCCCGCGTTTCCGAGGGGATGGGGACAGCCGAGGGCAGGTGTCGGCCTAACGGCAGTGCTGCCTCCTGAGTGTGCCGTCCCTGCTCCCCTCCACCCCGCTCACCGGGGCCGGGGGCCAAGCTCTGAGGCTCCCGGGACGCCCTCGCAATGCCCAGAATCCCTCGCCTCCGCATTAAGAGAAGTTGACTCCTTAAAACAAAGAGCTGCGCCCTTGACCCGCGTGACTCGCAGGGAGGCGCTGGGTGGGGCGAGTCAGAGGCCGGCAAACCTGTGCGATTCTCTCAGGTGAGGGAGATCAAGAAATGAAACAAGCAAACTAGGTAAAGTGCGCTGAAGCGAGGGCGGGGCGGGCCTCGAGCGCGGGGCGTGGCTGCGCCGCAGGGCGGGGGTCGGGCCGGAGGGCTGGCGGCGGAGCGGGACGCAGGCCTTGGTGGCCGGCACAGGGCAGTCCGTGCCCATGTCAGTCTTGGCGACTGCACACCTGCCAGCTGGGCATGCTGCGCCCGTGCCGCGTCCATGGTTTCCATTAAGGCAGCGTCCCTGGGCCAGCAGGTGGACACGGCGTGTTTCACATCGTCCCCTCCTGCGTGGGGACACAAGTGCACCCCTGGGTGGCCACCGCCCTCGGCCATGGAGCAAATCACTGGCCCCAGAGGCTTCCTACGTCCCTTGGGGCCTGGGGCCCAGTGGAACTCTGCCGTGAGGTGAGCTCTGAGGGCCCTGTGAGGCAGGCGTGGGCTCGGGGGTGCCGGCCAGCAGCTCCGGAACACGCTGGTCTTACATGAGAGAGGCCATGTCCAGGCCCCAGCCCGCCCCTGGACCCCGAGCCTCTGCGGTGTCTACGAGTGGGACACCCCCGGAGCAGGTGTGAGTGCTGTCGCGTGTTGGCCCCGGCGTCCGGCCGGTCTCCCAGCGCGTCCTCCGGTTGTCTCGAGCAGCAGGGGCTCCTGCCCTGTGGAGGCTGAGTCCTCTTCCGTGGTGTGGGCGCTCGGCGCTGAGCCACGCCTCTGTCTGGGGCCTTTGGGGCTTCTGGTCCTGGCTCTCAGGCATCACGTGGCAATGCTGGTGAATGCAGGAAGCAAACAGCTCTCGAGACCCCAATGTCGACTATCTGGGGTGAACACCCAGAAGCGGGCTAGCTGGGGCCCACGGGGTTCTGGTCGAAGTGTCCTGAGGCCCTCGCAGCCTCTGGTGAGTTCCCCAAGGGGTTGTGAGAACCCATCCCACCAGTACAAGCCGCAGCAACAGTAGCCAACGTGCAGGGTGTTTACCCCACGCCCCACTACACACACAGCACCCCTGAGCCTCTCAAGAGCTCGCTAAGGCTGGGGGTGTCGCTCCCGCTTGACAGATGAGAAAGTTGAGGCTCAGGAGAGGGACGCACTGGCCGTAGCAGCCGCGGGATTTGAACTCTGTCCGTTTGCTCTCGGTTGCTCCCCGCGACAAACGGAGCCACCAACGGGGAGGCTGCAGCCACATCTAAGGCGTATTTTGTATCCCAACCTTCGCCCATCATCCTTGCCGTCCCATTTTGAAGTTCTCTCTCCGGTCGCTTCTGCCAACCCGTCTTGCTTCTGGGAAACACTGCAAACAAAATGCCCCCCCTTCTCGGATTCAAACATCCCGGCTGCACACCCCGCAGAGCAGAGCAGAAATTCCCAGAACAGAACTTTCCCAAGATAACTAAGCGTTTTCCTGATTTCTCTGAGGGTCAGTGTTTGAGTGAGGGCTCCAGGACGTCCCGAGCCAGCGAGCGAATACGTCACCCATGCTTTGGAGATTGTTTTTAATAAAGATTATTTACACAATGTGTTTCCTATCGCGGGACACCAGAAGGAACAGGCCGACGCCCGCATTTTCTGAGAAACTCCGAGGATCTTGCAGTTCGGCATGAGGGGACTCCTTGGGGGTATTTGTCCTCCAGTTCTGAAGACTCTGGTGGAGAGTGGACTGGATGTCCTTCTCGGGCCTGTGAGTGGCCAAGGCTAAGCCACACGAGGGTAACGGACCTGTGCCCACCGCCCCACAGCTCCTGACATCCTGCCCAGCTCTGCTCTTTTTCATGTGTGCTAGTGTCAGTCATGGACATCCTCAAAGGCAGGCACCACTAGGACACCGCCCCCCAAAAAATGTGGTGTGTAATCCTGGGAAACCTAACTGCAGAGGCTGAGGCAAAAGCTAGCAGGGGTTCCAGAAATGAGAGCTTCGGGTTTGGTGAATCCCAGGAGACTCTTCTTGATGATAATAACTCACATTTGCTGAGCGATGGCCCTGCTAAGTGCCTCGTTTTCACTATTTCAGTAAATCCTCCAAACTCTGTGCCTCTGAGTGTCGAAGCCCCGTGTTATCTTGTGTTTATGGGGAGGGTGCTGAGGCCTGTGGGCATAGCTGACCAGCCTGTAGTTACACAACTAGCAAGTGGTGTCAGTGGGGTCTGAACCCACATCTAATTCCAGGGTCTGTCTTCTTCACTGTAAAAGCCTGCAGAGGAGGGGTAAGTGGTGATGGTGGTGATGGTGGTGATGGTGGTGGTGATGATGGTGATGGTGGTGATGGTGGTGATGGTGGTGATGGTGAGTGGTGATGGTGGTGATGGTGGTGATGGTGGTGATGGTGATGGTGATGGTGGTGGTGATGGTGATGTTGGTGATGGTGGTGATGGTGGTGATGGTGGTGATGGTGAGTGGTGATGGAGGTGATGGTGATGGTGATGGTGGTGATGGTGATGGTGATGGTGATGTTGGTGATGGTGGTGATGGTGGTGATGGTGGTGATGGTGAGTGGTGATGGTGGTGATGGTGGTGATGGTGGTGATGGTGGTGATGGTGGTGATGGTGGTGATGGTGATGTTGGTGATGGTGGTGGTGGTGGTGATGGTGGTGATGGTGAGTGGTGATGGTGGTGATGGTGGTGATGGTGGTGATGGTGGCGATGGTGATGGTGATGGTGGTGATGGTGATGGTGGTGATGGTGGTAATGGTGGTGATGGTGGTGATGGTGGTGGTGATGGTGGTGATGGTGGCGATGGTGGTGATGGTGATGGTGGTGATGGTGGTGATGGTGATGATCCT